GGATTTATTGAGAGAAATGCATACAATGTTGCACTGGACTCTTAATTTGGAGGCTTTATAAAGCTATAATGGTTAATAGAGTATGGACTATAATGGTTACTAAAATGTCACAAAGTTATAAGTTTATGCAGTCACCTTCGTTATCTTCATTCGTTGTCGTCTTGTGTGGGCTTCTAGACAACCCTTCTGACACTTGTCACAAGTTCGCCATATTTCTTCCAAACCGTCAATAAAAATTTGACATTAATCCTAAGAAACTTGACAAGCTCCGTACTTTTTCAAACATATCCTAAACGACAGTGTAATGTCCAAAGTCATATACTATAATCATTAAATTGAGCAACTAAAATTGGATATTGACATAATGGTTAAACGAACATTGAAATCAATTATTAAAACAACTTAGTAAAACAAAGAATACAAGTACCCAATTATTAAGATTTTTATCCATTTTTAAAACAGCTTAATCATTTTTAAAGAATACCATTCCACTAAGTCTAATTTCTCATTCCGATATTTGTGGGTTATATGGTGCAGGGTTAAGGGCTAATGGTGTACAATTAAGGGTTTAGTTGGTTTAGGGTCTAGGGTCATTCGTTTACTATAATCGTGAAAATGATGTAACAACTAAAATACCTTAACTTAAGGGGTAAATCGTTGACAAGCTTGTATAACTACTATAGATCAACGATGAATTAAACTACAAAGTCAGTCAATCAATCTACATTATTAAGAAGCACAACTGCTTAGCAAGTGAATTTATTGTTCAAAAATGACAAAAAAATAAAAAAATTAGAAATGAAACACAACTAAACACAACATTACCAATATTAATTAGGAAGGTGTCGACAAAATTGCAATTAGCATATCCATTTCATCGATTAATACTAAAATAGCGTAATGTCTATTTTCAAGTTTACAATGAAGTTGATTATTGGGTTGCATGAATCTGTAAACTTGGTTCAACTGTTGAAGTACTATTAAATATACCGGTTTGGGGTTATCTATTTCTGATGGAGGGCTAACGATTTAATGGTTTAGGGCTTAGGGTTTAGATTTTATGGCTTAGTGTGAAGGCTTAAGGGTAAGGGTTAAGGGTTAAGGGTTAAGGGTTTAGGGTTTAGGGTTTAGGGTTAAGGGTGACACAGTCATTTTATGTTTATCAAAGTAAATTTTTGTCCATTTCCCTAGTGACAAATCACTAGTTACAAAGTTTTGTTATAGTCGTTTGCCTTCATATAGAAGTAAAACTCTCAATCTTCCTCAAGATTTTCACAGCTAATGCAAATTCATTAAAAAGCTAGAATCCAACCTCCATTATTTCCCAAGTGCATAAATTTCAAACTAAAGCTAGCCATAATATACAATATCACCCCCTGCGAAAACCATTTATTTCAAACCTGTGTATGCATCCGACCAATCCGAGTTACATTAAAACTCAACCATTTACTACCACGACGACCATTTACTACCACGATGAGCATGGAAATGCTAATGGAGGAAGGCTCATCGTCTTTGAAATTTGAGGACTAAGAAAGCAGCGATGAGTACGAGTACTTTTGGTAGCTTAGTACTTTTAGTAGCTTACTTGTGACTGTAAGTGGAGTAGAACATTTATTACGAAGAACATATGTTTTTGTACATATAATTAATCTTAACTTTCTTATTAAACATGGCTTAAGTATCCTTCATTTGAGAAATTAATATTTTAATTGAAGGGTTTAAACCGTTAAATTATTATTAAACGTACATGCAGTTGAGTCCATTGTAAGGGATATGCTATTCTAGCATCGTGGGTCATGATGTTCTTTCTTATAAAATATAATCACCAACAAAATTTTGTAGCTAATGTGGGTCAATAAACAATGTTCATGCATGGGAAGGGCCAAAGTTTTGAAGACAAACCAAAATTATTGAAATTAGAAAAACAAATGAAGTTGATAACAATAGTACGAAAGTGTTTCTCAAATTAGAAAATTTGGATAACTATTGCACACAAGACCTATGGGAAACCGTTAGTCAAGGCATATATTCAGCAGGATAGCTAAGGTATGTAAAACAAAATAGCTAGGTGTTGCTTATAAGCAGTAGGTAAGATATAAAATTAAGATCATATCAAATAGCGTGTGTGATTGATTCTATTCAATAGGATTGATGTTAAGTTCAGCGCAAAGTACGCATAAAGCAAAGGAAGGGTAATACACATTGGTCTTTGCATGATAAAAGCACATTATCCTTTTTGGTGTAAATGACTATTTTCGAATAATTAAATAACATGTGGTCTGATTTTTAATTATACGTGTGTTATGGTCATTGTTGTAGTGATAAAAATAAATTATGAATTTTAATTTTACGTTGGTGAATTACTAGAGTCCCTTTATAATGAAACATAGCAAGTTACCCTAGTTTCCTACAGCGTGTCAATTTTACGAGTCGTTATACTAGTGTGAATAATTTTTATTTTAATTCTTAATTCTGATTTAAAACAAAAAAATTAAACACATTCTACTATTGCAATTTAGCTTCTTACGAGTCGTTGAAATTTGTTGGATATTGATTCAAAGTTAGTTCCTATAGTTTAGGAACATTACTAATAACATCAGTAGGTTAGTGGAGTAATTCATGGGACATGTTTACCCACTTAGTATTAGTAGTTCCTTTGTCTATTGTTATACGTAGATCAATAGTTTTATGCTTAATAAAGCAATGCAGGGAGTTTTACGTAGTCTAAGTCTTGTTCTGTTTATGTTCATTGCTACTATTTAGAGGGTAGTTAGGTTAGTAGTGGTTTCCTTATATTTAGCTTCGTTTGTTTTATCATTAGCTTATTTAAAGGAACAGATGTATTTCATTTTGATCAAGAAAATAATATCAATGTTTAGTAATTTTGCTCTTTATCTTTTATCTCTAGTTTTATCTTTTATATTCAACAAAATTGACTCGTGGTTGCACTTGCATGCTTTGATTAACTGCAACCCATTTAATTTATTTGGAGAAGACCAAATGATTAAAAAAATTGCTTAGTTTCTTTTGGAGAAGTCAACAGGGGGATACAAGTCAATACAAGAAATACATAATGAAAATACCAAAAATAGTAACTTAATACAAACCATTTTTGGACTTCACTATGGTCTTGATAGTGGAGTTGGTATGTCACAAAATGGAGGTAAATATTCCCGCCATCCACTATCCCGCCAACTTACCTCAACACGTGACAATATGGTATTGGGTAAAAAACACATATAAATGTACAAACCTAGCTTCTCACAATCGAAAAGTGAGTTACAAGTATCACTCTTGCTTTGATCAACAACATGCCTTCAACACCAAGAACAACCTGTGTGCTATCACCCTTAGGACTTCATCCTCCCACAATTCCAACCAACATTACCCATGCCACTCCAAAGTTAAACAAAAAACCAATGCTTCCTAGTAGGAGGTTTATAAGAAAAAGAGCCTTTTGGCTAAGACACTCAATGGAATGCCATTAAGACCCTCCTGAAGCATAAGGTTGGTAGCGAACACCCATTTCCTAATAATGGGAAACTGAAAGAACAAGTTGATGCTGGCTTACCATTGACACGGTCCATTGTGGCCATCAACAGAGCTCGGTTGCAGCTCGAAGGTCCTCCTACGACCGACTTAAATGTTCTTGTGACGGAGGATGATGTCTCTGAGCCTTTAGAAGGTGAGGGACCACCTCCCTTAAACCATACAATCCTTGACAAGAGTAGACAACGTCATGATACAGGCATTATATATGAGATAAGAGATGATGAAACCTTTAAATTCATATATGAGGATTATTCATCACGAGTTGATGTTTCAATCCATGAATTACTTATCAAGAAGCATGGCTTTTTAGTGGCACGTACTGCCACTGCCACATCAGTCAGAATTATGACCGGAGATGTACTATATGTTTGTGATGTGGTACGAGTTATTTTTTGCAAAGCAGTCCATACGAAATAGTGTTCTTATGATTGTTAATATTTATTTCAATATATGCATGTTCATATTCGTAATATTTGACAAATATTTACCGTTTTTTTTTCTAAATGCAAGGATCCCTCGAAGAACATGGACACAAGGAGGAAATTTTTCTACATGCGCAACACTTGCACACCTTGCCATGAAGTGAAGGTGCAATGCAAGCTTACTTCAAAGCTTAGGAGGCTATGCGTCAAGTGGGGTGAAGTGGTGGGAAAGGAACCTAATACACTAATGCTTCTACACCAAGATAGAAAGTTAAATAGGCTCCTTACAGTTGGTGAAGCTGGCATAAAGAATGAAGACTATGTGTATGCTTGTCTAGAAATATGACATTGGTTGTTGTTGTAGGCAAGTCTAATTTCTGTTAGCCAACAAATAGGGGTCAAATTAACGTAGTTCATGCGGTCAGTTTGTCACTTTTGTAGGCTGTTTTAGTTTTAGTGAAATCAGCACAACAATTAGCAAGTATGTAAGGTATACCCTTTTTGGTGTATTAGAGTACGGGGATAGTTGCTTAGTTTTTAATTAATTAATGTTAATCAACAAGTGTTTCTTGTTGTTGTAATCGCCTAGGTTAACTGATTTTGTCTTCATTTCAGACTATGGGCTAATTGGGTTTATATTATGTATCGTACTGTAGATCTTTTAAACCATCTATATGTAATGTAAGTATTGTTTCGTTTCAATATAATTTGCCCAACTATGTATGCAATAATGGGTACTTAAGTACTAATGGAGTTCCATTGAACTAATAGAACATAATTAAACATTGTTGTATTAGTTTGTGGTTTCTTTCTTTCTTTGTATTGTAAAATTGAAACGTAGAAAGAGATAACTCAGGCCAAATAATTTAACCCGCATACAGTTGTATTAGTTGCAGTATTAAAAGTGAACAAGTTAAAACATTACACAACCATAAAGGTAAGCTGAGACATAATTGGTTACATTCATGGTTTGATAATGGTCCATTGGTTACCAAAACAAATAATGAAAATATTGCGCCAAGGTTAAAACATTTGGTGGTCACTGGTCCACTCCTGGGTGGACATGTTGAGCTCAAAATCATCACATGGAACATCATCAGCAGGAGTGACAGCGTAGAACTCAGTGTAGGGGTTCGGTTGTTTCCTCCTTTTCACCTGCAACCAAACCGGCATTATGTATGTATTGCCATAAGAAGATAGCCTTTGGACAGATATATTAGCAAGTGCCATACCGGCAATTTAGTTGGTTGGATTGACTCATCTACAAATCCTACATGTGCTTGCTTCTGGGTTCTCTGTCATACAGAGAAATTAAATACATAAGCAAATACTGCCCCAGCCAGTGAATGAAAAGAATGGATTCACCCAAACAAACTATAGTGGCACCATATACATACCTTACTGTTTTTCCCTTTGGCTGCATTGTATCCTAATTCAGACAATGTCTTGTTCCTTGATCCCTTTGGACGGCCTTTAGGCTTCTTTTGAGTGACTGGGTTTTGGATTACATTTCCTGAACCTTTTCCTCCATTGATTTCAGAAGTATTGGGCACAGCTTTATTACCCCATGTAGCGACATTATAAGTCTTGGACACAGACTTAGGAGTGCCTTCTAGTCCAGGTGAATTTGATGACCCTATTTCTGATCCAGACCCATTTTTAGCCATGAGTTTTGCACGACGCTCATTGACTTCAGCTCGGATCTTGATCACTGCTTGTCTGACTGCTTCAACTGTTTCGTCATTAATGGCAGATGCTTATTCATCACACAATGCCTCAAGGTCTGGAATTAACTTGTTGTATCGCACACATTTCTCTGTTTGAGTAGGGTCATGGTATGCAACTTTGATGCGAGTGTGCTTCCTCAACACATCCTTTTTCCACCGATTTAGAACAAATTTCAATGGAAATTCTGTCATAAAGTTTTCATCCCACACTCTAATGACATGCTTACAAAGGATCCCATCCTTTTCGAACTTCCTACAGTCGTAACTAATATGTTTAGTGATAGGGTTATGAATCAGTGAGTAAAACCTTCTGGAATAAGTGATGGTTTCCTCATTTGAACCTTCTCGAACAACCCAAACGCGATCTAAAACCAAGTAATGAATTTCAACTTCACTGATAATTTTCTCCTCCTTGATCTGAACATATAGCATCCTTACACATTCTTTTTGAAGTTCTTGAAACTTTGCATCAGTATATATTTTTTGGAAATATCGTTCCACTTTGAATCCACTCACAAGTTGTCTAATGTACTTGGAATCCCTTGCATCAGCATCTTTCTCATCCATAACCCTCTTCTTCATCGCTTTGTTATATTTTTCAGGAAACTCGAAGAGTTTCGTTTTACAGGTGACATAGCCATCGAAAAAATAGTTAATGCTCTCTACCCTCTGTGTAGTTTTCATACTCACCCAAAAGTACTCTTTCATGTAGGCCGTTACCCACATGTGCTTCTCAATAAAAAGATCTTGCAACCATTCATTGTCCTCCAACCCATACAGCTTCATTGCTTCACACCATCGAGTTTGAAATTCTTCTACAGTGAAGCTGTAATATATTATATTCTTCAAAGGGTTCTTGAAATCATCGTACCTGTCATTGCATTCAAACAAAACTACTGGTTCACTATTTCACAAAGTCAGCAACATAACTCAAATTCTGGACAACAGTAAAAGGTTAACCTGTATGCTAAATTAAATTAGAACAACACAAGGGTTGTTCAACAAGCATTGCAAGATAATGAATAACAATACTTGTAACAGCTTGTACAATGACATAAAAACCAATGACAACCACATTGTAGAATAGTAAAATTAACTTAGGCAACTGCAACAATGCTAGAAACCAATTCCTACTCTAGTTTCTCAATAAAGGTCACTTCATTGACATTACATAAATAAGTCAGCCAATTACCAGTACATTTTAACTATAAATGAGCATTTAAAGTAACAAGTAAAACCAACAAATAAAACTCATAAATTACAATAAACAGGTATAACCAATAACAAATAGTGAATGAAAATGTACCAAGGTAGGCAATACTTACAAGGCACACTTGCCAAGTTTCTCAGGAAATTTTCTCATAATATGCCATATACACCATCGATGGCATGTATTAGGCATCACTTCAGCTAAGGGATTCCGCATAGAAGCTGCTTGATCGGTGAGGATGGAAATAGGAGCTTTATTACCCATACAAGATACCCATTGTTCAAAGATCAATCTATAGGTATCACAATCTTCATGAGAAATGAGGGCACACCCTAACAGAATGGACTAGCCATGGTGATTAACCCCGACAAAATTTGCAAAGGGTAGCTCGTACTCATTTGTTAGGTATGTGGCATCGAAGCAAACTACGTCTCCAAAGTCTTCATAAGCTACCCGACTCCTTGCATCCACCCACATGACATTTTTTAACCGACCATCATCATCCAACCTATTTTCATGGTAAAAATTCTGATTATCTGCTTGCATGTAATCAAAGTATTCCATCATGGCTCGTGCATCTCTGCTGGCCATCTTGAGCCGCCTTTGCTTGTACACTTCATGCTGAAGATCCTTCACACTTGGCAAGTTTCCATTCTCAGTGCCTAAACAACCGCGAATTTGGGACACGGAGAGACCCTCCTCAAAAACATTAATCAACCTCTTTCGTACCGTTGAAGTCAACTTCTTCATACGATACTCTTTAACCAAATTTGCCATACTAAGAGATAGAGTATGAGTATGCTCCAACACAACAGTTTTCAAAATCCAAAGCCAATCAACGTTTAAACTCCCATAAACCCTATCATTGCACTCACATTTCTTCGATTTACGTTTTCCATGTGCAAGCTCGGCCTCCCCTATAGCCCCATTCACATTTCCAAGAATTCCCCAACTTCCATGTACTTTGCCCTTTTCTTTGCCTCACGCTTCGCCCTCATGTTGGATGCACCCCAACATTCGCACCTCCAAGTTATTCCCCTTCTCACTTTTGTACTTGTGTATGATCCTTGCACTCTAGTAACACCAAATCCACAATGCTTAGCATATGTTTGATAGAAAAACTCAATTTCCTTCCAAGATTTAAAAAGCATTCCAACTTTTGGAGGCGGAGCACAGGTAACCCCACTCCCCTTATTGGTAGAAACTGTAGTCTCCAATGTCTGGATTGTCTCCATTGGGGAAGGGCATTGAGTTGGATTGCAAGTTTTGTCATTCATACACAATGTAGTTGTATTAGTTTCAACTGTCTGAGCCAAGGTTATGTTCTCCTACTCAACTGCATTCACATCCTCTTATTCTTCCTGCTCATTTTCATCTATACCAATCTCCATCAAGGAACCAACCTCTTCATAGTCCCCTAAAAAGGGACTTAGGCTATCTTCTCCCAAATCAGACATCTTATCCAACACCTACTACCACAGATATCATGCAAAGGTCACACATGCTAAACGAGTATACAACACAATGCACTACAACACACAACAATCATAATTACAACTGAATGATTTCAGAACCCACTACAGAATTTATGCAAAATCAAAACAACAAATGTAAGACACGATTGAAAAGTATAGCCTCGGGGAGATAGTCATACCAAAATCAAACACTACAGATTCATGCGATTTCCCAAGTTACTATAATCATTCAAACAACAAAATATATTAAATTAACCAACAGAAGGGTGCAATTCCAAAGTAACGCACTATCAATACTAAAAATTGGGGCCATAATTAATCAACTCTGGTGAAAATAAACTAAGCATTACCGAATTCAAACAATGAAATATATCAAATTAACCAACAAAGGGTGGAATTCCACAGTTACGCACAACCAATTACAAAATATTGGGGCCATAATCAAACAAAATCAAATCAACTATGGTGAAAATAAACTAACCTTCACCAAAGGCCAGAACCTGAAAAACAGAGCAAACAGAGCAAACTGAACACACACGTACACCACTGAAGACGAAAACAACATATTTCAACCACCATGAATGGGACGACGGGAAAACCACAGATCTACATACTAAGCGAAGTTCTTTGTTACTAGGTGAAATGCGATTCTGAGAGAGAACTTTCGCTAGCGACCGAGAAAGCATGTTGTAGTGACAAATGCTACTGTTAACACACCTGAGCATGCTCCAACTGTGGTGAATTTAGGAGTTGATGAAGGGTGTGAGGTAAATTGCCTAAATTTCGCAAAGTTTGCAAATTAATGCTTCTTACCTCCGTCAAATTATAATCTAACGCCGTCTCTTAACGAAAAAATAAGCCCACAATTACAACAAATATTTTAATTTAAATACGGTTACGTGGCAGCAAAAAGTTGAAGAGATAAACAAGAAGCGTTGATCACAGGGATTAATGGGGGCTCACCCTAAATGAAATGTGTGACAATAAAATTAGGTTAGTTAAAGATATAGATTCAACTCATAATTTTATTTCAAGTGGTAATGCACTAATAGTCTAAAACTATTGAGTGTTCAAGACAATACACCGAGTTATTTTCTACAATTCTATTCGTATTTTTTTTTTTTTTTTTTTTTTTTGTAATTCACACTTTTAATTTTTTTTTTGTGATGTTCTCATTAATGTTTTAAGAAATTGTACTAGTAATTGTTGGGTATTTTGTGTTTACAAGGGTCACAAAGAAGAAATAGAAATGAAAATTCAGAAATAAACTTTGAGGCGTGAACGGAATGACTTTCTCAAAATACCAACTGGGTATCACGGAAATTTACTCAGGAGATACAACGAAGGCCAATTACAATCACAAGTAGGGTGATTACAATACAATGTAAATAAGCTATTGTGATTTGTGATAATGAACAATAACTTGCAAAAGGTTTTCCAAGAAGACAATAACCAGATCTCTTGAATGTGTGTTTTTCATCATGTGAACAATCATATATATGAAGAGCAAAATACCAAGAAAACAACAACGATAACCGTCAGAACCACCCCGCGCCCTGTGCCCTGCCGGGAGAGAGAAACCAAGCAACCCACATAGATCTGGGTGCTCTCGCGCCTTGCCAGGTAACGGTGGCCCTGCCGGGCGGCTGACATAGTTTAATCTTTCTTCGCTCTTGCGCCCTATCGGGTGATGGCTCGCCTTGCCGGGCGCGCCACTAGGCGGAGGACCACTTCTCTATACCGAGATAACCCTTGCTTCATTCTTTGCTTAATTAATTTGCAACACCTTAGCCTAAGCAAATTAACTACACAACAATGAATAATGTCTACAATACTCTAAATTATTTAACAATCCTCCCCCATTTAGAGTATTAATCTAGACTCATTGCAAAACATCGTCATCACAAAAACAATTTCATGCATAAATGAAAGTGTACAAATACTTGAACTCCCACTTAGTGCAACATACAATTCAAGAATCTGTATCTATTTGGTATCGTAAAACGTTTGAACCAAAAGCAATACATATTGGATACTTGAAGATATTACACACACAAGATTAATTACTTAAATACATATTAACTTGACACTTAAGCCATGTCGTGTCCACATCTATTCATAAGTACATCAAAGCTATGCCCCTAATAGCTTCTTGAAGCGGATAAACCTTGTACTTATATAGGTAGAATTCCAAAACATGCTCTTGTGAAAAAGCACAATATCAGGAATTCTATTAAGTTAAACAATCTCTTATACATCATTGAATATCCGGAACTTTACCTTGGATGAAAACAAGTTCCCAATTAGCAAATGAGAAAGTTAATCTTATTGAACTTAAGACCCAACGTCTTATTGGGTGTTAAGTTAAGACTCCCTCATTTGTAATTATTTAGGGCTCCAATCCTAAGCCGATTGTCATCCTACTGTTAACATCTATTGGCTCTTGCCAATGCCTTTGTGAAACAATCGGCGAGATTAAGATTTGTTCGAACATAATCAATAGTGATCACACTATCCTTGATAAGCCCTTAGATGTAACTATGCCGTACTCCAATGTGTCTTGACTTACCATTATAAACTTGGCTATAAGCCCTTGCCAAGGTAGCATTGTTATCACAATGTATCACTATTTGTGATATTGGTTTTGGCAACAAAGGGATCTCAAACATGAGATCCTTCAACCATTCGGCTTCTTTACCAGCCGAATGCAAAGCAATGAACTCTGATGTCTTTGTGGAGTTTGCAATGCAAGTTTGCTTCTTAGAAGCCCATGAAATGACACTTCCCCCATATAGGAAAACGCATCCACTTGTGGAGGAATGATCTTTGTTAGAGATCTAACTTGCACCCGAATACCCTTCTACCATCGAAGGATATCCATTATAAGACAAACCATAATCCAGGGTTTTTTTCAAGTACTTCAACAAGCGTCGAACCGCTTGCCAATGTAGCATACTAGGATTGCTAGTGTACTTACATAGTTGACCAGCTGCATAAGCAATGTCCGATCTAGTATTTGTCATGACATACATCAAACAACCTATTACTTTAGCACGCATATTCAAGTTGTGAAATTGTAATACTTTCATTAGGTATCAACTTTATGCTAGTATCCATAGGTGTTGAATAAAGAGAAGTAGAGTCATCATTGACATTAAATTTCTTGAGCACTTGCTTAATGTAATGAGATTGTGACAAGATTAACTTTCCTTTTTCCTTCTTTATCCTTATGCCCAAGATGACATTCACTTCTCCCATGTCTTTCATGGAAAACTTTGAACTAAGGAAAGACTTTGTCATTTCAACTTGTGACAAATTCGTTCCAAAGATCAACATGTCATCTACATATAGACAAATTATGACACCTTGACCGTTGTCATCAAATTTGCTATAAATACACTTGTCTGAATTGTTCAACTTGAAACCATTAGACAACATAACCTCATCAAACTTTTGATGTCATTGCTTAGGTGCTTGTTTTAGCCCATACAAAGATTTAATCAATTTGCAAACTTTTCCTTCTAGACCTTCCACAACAAACCCTTCCGGTTGTCGCATGTAAACTTCTTCCTTTAGATCTCCATTCAAGAACGCTGTCTTGACATCCATTTGATGGATCACAAGGTTGTGGTTTTCCGCAAGTGCAATCAACAACCTTATAGTTGAGATTCTAGCAACAGGTGCATATGTATCAAAATAATCGATACCAGGCTTTTGTGTAAAGCCTTGTGCCACTAACCGGGCCTTGAACTTTTCAACCGTTCCATCAATCCTCAATTTCTTTTTGAAGATCAATTTGCACCCTATTGGTTTACATTTTGGTGTAAATTAGCTAACACCCAAGTATTGTTTTCCATGATGGATTCTATCTCATCATTAATAGCTTCCTTCCAAAATGGAGCATCACGAGACCTTATAGCCTCATCATAGGTCAACGGATCATCTTCCACATTAAAATGTATGGAAATTTTGTCGAAACAGAATTCCTTGATCCTTTAACTAAGTACACATGAAAGTCCGAGCCAAAAGATTTTTCTTTCCTTGCCCTTTTACTTCTCCTAGGTTGAGATGATGATGTTCACTACTAGAAAACAACCCATTTCTGACGGAAAAATTTCGTCAGAAACACCCTGTTTTCCGTCGGAACTGGTTGTCGGAAAGCTATTTGTAGGAAAATGACTTTTTCCGAAGGAATTTCCGTCAGAAACATTGTTCCGATGAAATTTCCGACGGAATTCAGTCATCGAAATATATTTTCCGGCACGGAAAAAGTTTGTCGAAAATTTCCGACGGACACAATTTCGCCAAAAATTTTCGACGGAATTTCCGTCGAAAAATGCTGAAAAAAAAACAAAAAAATAAAACGCCTCCCACCACCCCTTACCACCACCAGCTGTCACCCCACACTACCAGCCCACACCCCAGCCCCCAACTCAAACCACCAACCTCCATCCTAGCTCCACACTAGCCCTACCAGCCCCCCTAAACACGCACCACCACCCACAACCCAACCACTAAAACCACCACCAGAACCCCACCAAAGCCACCTTTAAAAACAAAACACACACACACACACAAACCAGATCCCTACCCACCACCCTAACCCGAACCACACCACAACTCACCCTAACCGAACCACCTTACCACCCACCTAACCGAACTAGACCCACCCCCCTAACCCTAAACGACCAGATTCACTAATCCAAATCTAACACCCAAACCAAACCCAGATCTACAACCTTAACCCTAACAAATTCAAC